TGATAAAGCTACACCTAGTTCACTAATATACGAGTTATTACCAAATACGAAAAATATTCCAACTTTATTTTATATTGGAAAATTCTGAGCTGTTTCTTCCGTCACGGGTAGGACAAAGAAAAGACACTGCTTTTTGGAGAACATATATTTTAAGGAAAGTCTGTGAATTTACTTAACATTTCTATCTGGATTAGATGTTTTACTATACAGAAAAGAACCAGCAATCCCAACAAAGCACAAACCATAATAAGAATTATTTGTTTATTATTAAAAAATTCAAAATTCTCCTGTCACGGGTGGGACAACTTTTGTCACGGGTGGGACACGTACGATTTTCATCATGAAAGGAAGCTTCTAGTGTGATCCATATCAAAGAGATTAGGTATGATAAATGTTAGAGGTCAAATACAAGATCAATTGACCTACTTTTATGACAGTGGAGTCATTGTAAGACGCACGATATACTGCTGACCCCAGGATCTATTTTAGGGGCAATAGTTATACCAAACGAAAGCTAGAAGTCGCCAGATTGATGTATTAAAACGCATGGAAGAAAGGATTATTTGCAAACGCATGAAATTTTATATGCATTTTCCTAATGCACTTCTGCACGGTGCATTTGATTGCAACGAAATTTCGAATGTGCCTTAATGATTTTCAAGTTTGTTTAGAATAGCTATGTATGTCTGACTAATACTAACTACAGGCTAAACATGTATATCGACTACTGTTATCACGTCGATAGCGATGTCTAACCTGCTGTTAGTGTTGACCAGACATTGAGTAACCGGCTTAAGAGTGGCTCGAGTTGAGTTATTTTTGGAAACTGATTTCATGGACAAATCATGCTCAATTTTAGCTATTCCTTAGAACCATAGAACGTCAGAAAAGATCTTGTGTATCGATGTCTAATCCGAAAAGTTATCTGCATTAGAATACTTGTAAGCAGATACATACATATGTATATCTTTGTCACTTAAAGGCTATTTATTGGATTGAATTTATAAGTTTCGCGAACTTCTAGATTTTCTTGGTTGGAACTTTTCAGGTAATTGTTAATATTGACTTTTGGATTGTTGTTAAGCAACCCTCATCATAGAATTCTCTGGCGTCTCTAAGATAGTAATGCTTATCTTGACTTTTCGAGCTGGCCACGCGAAATTTTTTACTACATCGCTTAGCCCACCAACAGTATTATGGTGTTTAGTCAACCTGAACTTCAGAGTTTTGTGGCATTAAACATAGGTTTGAAACGTTAAACTTATTTTTTTTATTGTTAGGCACCATTAGAAAAAAATTATAAATGATTGTCACGGGCGGGACACGATAAAACGTTTCAAAATCGCTTAAGTAGGTACTTATAATATAATAAAAGAAATGAAATAGGGCTGCTTAGTATAAACACACTCTAGTTATGAAATTATAGAAAACTCCCTAAAGTAGTAACTAAGCAATACGAAGTTTAAAACTTTTTAGTCACGGGTTGGACATGCTAAACCGTAGTGATTTTATCCTATTATATAATTTAAATGCCTATTTTTCTTCAATGCCATATTGCTTCTTCGGGGCGCAGAAAGATCGAGACATTTATTCCCCCCTTCAAAAAAATAATAACTTTGTGAATACTTGATTTTGCAGAGCCTTCTATATTAAAATATGTTGTCGTATTCAACTACTTTTCTAATGTTGAAGTTTTGAGTGTATTTACAGTGTAATAAAATAATATAACTAAATTTTTTTTCGAAAAATCGTTAATTTCAGGTATTGAGCATTGATTCATCAAGCATTCCATGTTCAATAAGCTACTCTACAATTGGACACAAAGTTTCACTTACTCATGGAATACCCCAGAAGTAAAATATTTATTTTTTTTTAGTTAAATTTTATTTAAGCATAGTATACCATTCTCAAAAAAAGCAAAGAAAAATAGAAAAGTAATTTCATGATAAAAAATATAGGAAGGTAGAACCGCTGAGAGGAATTTTTCAAATTCTCGACGTTTGCAAGCAATTTAATTTAAAATTCTACACAAACTCAAACACACATTCTCATTCTCAATCTCAAACAACAACAACTTTGAACAATTCCTGTTTTTTACTCTCAATTTTATATGATTTAAAATGTTGGCAAACTTCAAAAAAAAAAATCCGACGAATTGAGAGAACGGTTTTACCTTACTATGTTTTTTTCATGAGTTATTTTCTCTAAAAAACAGCTTCTCAAAAAAATACAATCGCCGTTCGGAGTCGGCGTAAAACGCGCCAATCTATTATTATTAATTTTCTCCGCTAAATTTTTATTAAATAAGTTTACAACTCTAAAGAAAAAAAAGCTCGTATTTTTATTTCTTCAAGCAAATTTGCCGCAAACGATTTATTCAGGTACTGTGCCTTTCCGGTAAATTTTCTTGAAGAAATAAATATATGTATGTACGAACATTTTGTTCTTGAGAGCCGTAAACTGATTTAAGAAATCCTGAAGAAAGAAAATTTCATTTCTATTTCTTGAACGTCATTTTATAAGAATTTTTCGTTTTTTTTTGAGAACTGCACATGTATTATGCTTTACATAGGAAACGCTTTGAGAACTGTTCTAAAGTTACTAAAAAATCTCGTATTTTTTTAAATAGGGCCTTAATTTTTAGCATAATGGTGTATTTGAGAGTCAAGTAATGGAATTTATAAAATAGGGTATTTTACATTGATTATAACAGAAGGATGCAAATATCGCTAGCTTAAGAGAGAAAAGTTGGCAAAAATGACAAATGACAAAGTCGAGCATTAAAAAAAAAATAATCGTATCATTACATTAAAAAAATAGTCATTAAATTCATTTCCCATGGCACTTTTTTTAAATTGCATAGATTTATTGGCATTTCAATGCCTATTGGAAATTCGGCATAAGTTTTCATAAAAAATTTACTTTTTGATGAATGCAGCAAGGAAACTAAAAACTGCATCCTTTCCAAATAGAATAAACAAATATGCAAACAAATTATATTATCTTTAAATCCTACCGAATCGGATGTAGTTTTATTTTACTTTAAGTACGTAGACATGATGGGAGTTGGGGAAGTATTTTAATTATCTCCTTCAATTTGAAAAATTGGATTTAGCGAATTTTCGGTCTAAGCTAGAGACATACATAGAATATGTATGTATGACAAAAATATTTATGTATGTCCCCATAGGTAATTTGAATTTTAAAATACAAAATTACCCGTCTTTGGATCGATTGTTGTGATTGTTATTTTTTGTTCCCACCTTAGTTAAATCTAATACTGAGTGCACCAATTAAACTAAAACAAACCATCTATTTGGGAAATCTGCAGGGTACTTAATTAGGCAAAAATCTTATTAATCGTTATCAATAAAAGGTCAGATCCAATACTTTCACTTCAGAGAGTAATTTTGCTGTTTGACATTTTTACACGATTTTGCACGAAAAGCATTCGATCAGAGCTACTTTTCGTGTAAAATGCTGTCCTCTGAAGTGAGAGTAAAAAGTGAGTAACAACAAAAAGTACGGGAACGTAATAAGCATTTTTCCAGAAAAACGACAAACAGTGATCGCTTGACACTTTTCAGGAGTTTACCAAAAGAAAAAGTTCTGGTAAAATCTTGCAACTTCATTCTCTACCCAACTCTCCAAAAATCGCTCTCATTTACAGAATTTTGGAGGGAATTGGAGTAAGGAATCATTTTTCCTGTAACTTCCTGCAAGTTCGTGTAAAAACCTGTAAGTTCATGAAGTACTGGATCAGAGCTAAAATTTAATTTTGTCGTTATAAATTTCGATTTTCAACACAAATGAGAAAATTGATTATAATTTATTATATAGCACCAATCTAAGTGATTTTCACTGCTGTGTGTGATCGGTAGCATAATTTAATGGTTTTAGCTGCCTACATAAAAGAGGTAATACCACAAAAACTTGTATCTGAACCAGGGTTGTTGCGAATATTATTCCGAACAAAAAGTCCTTTCCGGATAATAAACAAACCGCTTATCCAAATTAAACAAGTTTGCTATCAAATGAAAGAGGACTTACAATAGCTTTAAAACTGAAATGTCTAAACGAGGAAAGCCACATATTGAAAAATATTTCAATAAGTAATGTTAATTAATTACCATCTGTGAGGTATATGAATTCCTCATAAAAGCTATAAATACAGGGTGAGCCCAATAAGACCTACAAATATTTAATTTTTTAATATTATTGTTATTTTCTTGCTGCATGTTATAGATCATCTCTTGGAAAATCATAATGGATACTTACGGCAAGACCAACAACAACGACAACAATACGCTATTCGTTTTACACAATTAACCACACAAATTGATTTCCTAGATAATGTTTTGATGTCGGATGAAGCGCATTTCCAAGCAAAACTGTAGATTGTGGGGCTCTGAAAATGCAAGGGCAACACATCGGTACCAGTTACGCCCATCCAGATGCACTGTTTGGTGTGGTGTTATGGCCGATAAAGTTATCCGCACATAATTCTTTGAGAATGAGGATGAAAAGCCAGAAACGATTTCTAGGGCTTCTTACCGAACAATTATTGACAACTTTTTGCGGCCAACAGCAGAGCAGCATCCTAATTTGTGGTGCGGCTGCGCACGCTGCTTGGCAAACTAAAGACTTATGAAGTATGGTTTATTTATTTATGATATTATTTGGCCCGCCCTGTATTTTGCCCTGCGAAGACGGCAATGAGAACTTAACTTTCAAAACAAGTGTGGTCAACACCATTTTTTTTTTAACTCAGTAGGACAACCAGGGACTTTAACCAAACTGTGTCCAAACGTGAATAGTTAGGACCATTCATGTTTTGGTAGGAGTTTACATGTTAAAAAGTTCGGTGAAGAAATTTATTACAATTATGTCTCAGGTCAACTTCTATTTAAATTAAAAAAAAAAAATGTTATAAGCGATATTCTGTTGGAATTTTTCAATGACAATACGTAATCAATTAAAGGTGGTATAATTACACTTACCGCAGTCTTCAAAGGGCAGAGTATGCAAGCTTAAAAATTTCCTGTAAATTGCTTTTGACGCAGATTGTAGACCGAGCGAACGTCCAGCCGTTAATGCGATCGATATCATCTCGTAGAGATATAATAGTATAAAGTAAAAAAACTTTAAACGCATTGTTTACTACTTTCGTTGCTTTCGTCGATGTCTATGATTATACGTTTAGCTTTGGCTTTTCACAAACTACTAATAATGCACACAAATTAGGAATGGTAGTATGTAATAAAATATTTCTTTTTTAGCACAGCAGAATGTACATATAACGCTCCATACATAACTGGCGAAAGTGGGCTGATTAGCCAACAGTTTTGCACCTGCTTCGGTAGCTATTTTTAATGACAGGAATTGATTGATTGCTTTACGGTTTTGTTTTGTTTTTTCCTTCTTATTCTTTTCTAATCAGCAATGCAGTTCATTGATTTCATTTGGCGAATAATAAAAAGCGACTCCAGTCAGTAGGGAAGATAATAAAATGAAATAGATAATGAAAAAACACTTACGGCTACTATTGCTTCCAAACTAGTTTCCTCTTGTTTGAAGTAACATTTGTTTAGTTATTTTTACTTATGCTATATTTTGATTACAGTGTTTATTAATAATAAATATTGGTGTACATCATCGTTGGGTTTTGGATTCATTCCATTATGCCTTTGAGATAGTTTGTGGTCTTGATAAATCGAAAATCTGCTCGTAGTTGTATAAACTGCCGCACTACCGATTTATCCAAATAATTCTAAAAGAAAAATTAAATGTTTAGATAACCAGCTTGTTTTGAAAAATAATCAAAAAACGGTGATTTTCTACGCCACATATTAAAAAAAAAA